TTTTTAGTAGAGACAGGGGCTTCACCATGTTGGCCAGGCTGATCACGAACTCCTGGCCTCAAGTGATCCACCCGCCTCGACCTCCCAAACTGCTGGGATTACAGGCGTGAACCGCGGCGCCCAGTCCCCGCTTAACCTCTTTAAACTTCATTTTTCCTTATGTGTAAGTAGGCACAAAATACCACTACCGCATAAGGTGGTTTCTAGGAATGAATGAGTACTCTTAAAGCATAGTGCAGTGTCTGGCACACAGCATACGCTCCATGATATTGTTTACTAGCATGATTATCATTCGTATTTTCCAACCCAGCCAGTAAGAGCCACCCCTGCAATTCGGAGGGTGCCACGGAGAATACGCGCTCCCAGAGCCTCGGCTCGAAGCGCCTTGCCACGTGCGGCCCCTAGAGGGCGCCCGGAACTCACTTGTTCTGGGCTTCTGTGCCCAAGTCCTAGGTCAGGCTCCCACTTCTGCGTGGCTGCTGAAGGGCTGCCGCGGCCTCCAGCTTTTGGGTCTTTTGGCTCCTCCCGCCAAAGAAATGTGGGCAGAAAATGGGAGAGGCAGGAGCAGCTCCCACCATAGCCTTTCCTTAAGGAAGCACACAGTGGCAGGGGGCCTCGCACCCCTTACAAACTTCTTACACACAGGAAGGCCAGATTTCCCAGGCTTTGGGTAGGCAGCGGCGGCCGCTGGACCTTCTGGGCCTTGCTAGGGTCCTCAGTCAGTATCCAGGGTGGCCGCTGCTATCCCCAAGCTCAGCCTCAGGCACATGGGGTTCTCAGGCACTGGAGCTGCAGGGATGGAAGCTGAAGCCGGCTCCTAAGGCAACCCCCATCCCCAGGCCAGCTGGAAATGGAGTTAGATCCTCCTCTCTAGGGGCTGGGGGAGGAGGGAAAGAGAGTAGGGGTGTGGGGGTAACCGCCTACAGGAGCTGGCCGGGTGGGGTGTGAGCTTGTGTCAGCAGTAAAGGTGTGTGCCTGGCACCGCACACCTGTCGCTGTTCTTGTGTAACACTGCACACCCTGATTGTTGCATAGTTGGAGGAGGTGTGTGAGGTTGCACCCGGCAACGCAGGCCGTGAGTAGGGCATGTGAATTGTACTCACCCCTCAACAACACAATGTGGGCACCCCATCACTCCCTGGAACTCACCCAGCCCTTCCTCCTCCCCACCTGCCACCCCTCATTCCCATGATGCACGCTTACCTGTCTTTGGAGTCTGCTCTGAGCTCCTTGGAAAACCCGACCTGACTCCAGCCTCTGCTCAGCCCGTTCCTCTCAGATTCTCCAGCATAAGAAATCCAGGTGAGGGTTCCCCAGTGGGAGGGACTTCCCTGGGCCAATCAGGCCAGGGCTGAATGGGGGCAGGAGGCAATGGATGGGCCCTTTTGAGCTCTGTGCAGAACGTGGTGGCAGCTCTTGCCAGTTGCTTGGCAGCAGCCTGGCTGGGGGACTTCAAACTCTGAGCTGATCTGGAGGTCCTGGGGGCCCTGGGAGGGACCAGGACTGGGGGGCTGTTGAGAGTGACACACACCTGTGAAAGTGGGCAGGAGGGCAGCGGGAGGGGCAAATCATGAGGGGGGAGGTCTCCTCAGGCACCTGAACTGAGGGACCCTCAGGGCAGTCCCAGGGCCACAGCCTCTCGGCTGCCCTGCAGCATAGCTGCTGAATCCCAGCTGCTCCAGCTGGCTGGAGGGCCTTGCTTAGTTGCCTGAAGCACCTGAAACCTATCTTGCCCACCTGCAAGTCACTTGCCCCACACGCAGGGCACCCATCTGAGTCCTGTGCCCAGGGCAAACCCCACAGCTGCCTGGTAGTGGAGCCACGACAGGGCAGTCAGTGCTCAGGAGGTGCCACACAGCCCCCAAGCACAGACGCGGCCGCACAAAGCCGCTATTATAGTTAACAGGTTGAGCCAGATTATCTGCGTGCCACCCACCGCACTGCACAGGGCCTCTAGGACCCCAGCCCTGCCTGAGTTCCTGGGGCCCCTCAGGCCACCACCCACTCAGTCACAGGGCCAGGTCTGAGCGGCAGGGCTCACAGGCCGCAGGAATCTGGTGATTGCCGTGGTTCTCTCAAGCCGAGGAAGGAAGTGGGCCCTTCTGCCTGGGCAGGTTGGTTAATTCCCCTTCTCTCCCGGCACCTCTACACACAATTATTCCGATCGTTTCTTTTCTTTTTTTGAACAGAGACCGGTCATTTCCGGAAGGGGAGGTGGGAGGGAGAGTTTCCAGCTTTCAGATGTGAGTAGTTGGCCGGACTGTGACCCTTGCAGCACTTCTCCGCCCCCAGCCTCCACCCCACCTGGGACGGAGATTGAGAGTCTAGCCGCCACCCTGGCCTTTCTCCCCGGCTGCAGCGCTCGGCGGACGCGGGATCCGCTGAGATTCGGTCTAAACGAATTCCGGGCGGAGAGGCAGGGGTCCTGTGTGTCCCGCTGCGCCACGGGTCCCAGCGACCTCGGGAGTTTGGCACCCCCGGGAGACCTAGCCCAAGGCCGGGAGCGCCAGCGGGACCCCGCTGAGAGCGCGCGATCTGGGGCCCAGGTGGCCGAGCAGCGCCGGGAGCAGGCTAGCGGCATCCGGGAAGCTCAAACGCCGCCCGGGGCCCCAGCGCTGGGATTGTCCCGACCTGTGGAATGTCCGTTTCTGCGCGAGCCCTGGACGAGCTGGGCAGGGTCTGAGAGCTGCGGGGCTGAGGGCTCCGGCCTGCGCGTGCTCTCCGCGTTAGTGTGGGCCTAAGAAGGTCCTGAAGATGGGGGAGGTAGGAGGTGTTTTGGGGGACGGGAGTGTTGGGCCTAATTTTGCTCAAGACGGGGTGGGAGAGGGGGCGGAGAGCCGAGGCTGCGGAGCCAGCTAGGGGCTGCGGTGTTTGCACCCGCCAGCCGCTCTCTACCCAACTCCAGTTCCTCTGTTGGGCAATCTGTGTCCAGAAAATGCTTGGGGTTCTTCGGACACAGCAGCCTCTTGAGGTGGTCTCGGGGGATTGGGAGGCGGGAAGAAGGCTATAGTCTCCCCTGGGGTCTTTTGGCTGTGAAATCGCGCCGCCAGGAAGCTTTGACCTTGAGTCCTAAAGAAGAGAGAAACCGCACCCCGCGAAGTAGCGAAGGAGGCGCGGGCTCGGTGGCTCCAGTCCTGCGGGAGCTGAGAGTCAGCAGACCTGCCCAGGTAGAGGAAACGACTTCTGAGGTTCTGGAGGCCATTTCTGGATTTTGCACGGCCTGGCGCTGGGTGCCAGGGCTGGTGAATGCGGGGGGCCTGCAGCAGACCCGGTGCTGTGGCCGGAACCTTCTCACTAGGCCCCACACAGCTGGTCAGGGACTGACCTGAGGACTCGCGGGGCCTGTGGGGATGGTGCGGAAAGGCTGGCTGCTGTCTTCGGACCCTGAACCCTTCTCTCTTTTTCTTGTTCTTTTCCTTCATCTCTACACAAAGTGACAGAAGCCTCCTCTCTTGCCAGTATCCCAGGGGACCACAGATGACGGGGTAGATGACCGAGCCCACCCTCCACTCAGCCAAACTTCCCTATGGGCTGGCTTGGGTGGGAGGTTGCTGTGCTCACGGACTGAGTCACAGCCCAAGGCTGCTAGGCAGGGGCAGGGATGAGGGACGGTGGCTCTGATGGTGAGGGCGGCTCCCCACCCTCAGTCCCTGCACGCAGCTCTGCAGAGCTTCCAATGCCCCCCTTCCCCGCCCCAGAAACTTCTAGTTTCCAGTGGAAAAGTTCTCTCACTCTCCCACCCCAGAGAAAAAGCTCTTACCCCTCCATTTCAACTCACCCCTAGGGTGATGAGTTCTCTAGACTCTCCACCATCCAGCTTCTTCCAGAAAAGTGGACCCAAGTCAGTCTTGTCTAGGATAGTTCGAATAGGCTGGGACTAGATGTTACAGCTGTGTGCATGTGTACTGTGGCTGCTGGTCTGACAAGGGTGGTCTGGGGGCTCCTTGGACGTCCCCAGAAAGTCACTTCTTTATATCCCTCCTAGGCCAGGCTAGTGCTGGGAGCTGGTAGGTTCCACTTAGATCACCAGAGAGGATCTTGGCCCTAATTCCTGATTCAATGTGCCCCAATCTCTGCAGCTTGCTGGGTAAGCGTCTAGAGCCCCAGAACTTCAGCAGATGTTGGTCTCAGCACAATGTATCTGCGTATTACACATCAGACTCCCACCAACACATACACCATTAGTGCACAATTACACACACTCATACACAACCACACCCACCCACCTGCAGTGACTGTCTCCTCCAATGATCCACACTCCCCACTAAATTTACTCCCCCAATTACATTCTGTCACACGCAAGTAAAGTAAATACAGGAAAAATGCATAGCTCACACACGATTATGTCTCACAAAAAATTACACCCATACAATTAAAGATGATCCACTTCACAAGCAATCACATTTAACAAAAATAGATTTACAAAGAGAAACTAATATTCTCCTAAACATTTAACACCATTCACACATCATCACCAAAATGGTTGATTAGACAATTACCCAAAAAGAAACAGTCGCATTGCGCACATGGTTACACACACATCATTACAAGCCTGTGCATACAATGATAGTTTCGATTTGCAACTTAAGCAGAAACAAGCATTTACACGAAAGAATTGCAAACACAATTATACACTTGGATACTATTATAAATATTCACTATCAGTAACAGCCTGATTGCTCACATTATCACAAACACAACACACACACACACAACACACACACACACGTGTGCGCACGCATGCGCGTGATTCTCACACCCAAAGAAATTACATCCTCTCAGGCACTGGCAATCCCAGGAGAGCCTGGCTCTCCCTGCTCTCCTCAACTCTGCTTTCTCTCCATCTGTCATACTCCTTTCCTCTCTCCAGAGCCTTAGGGTCCTGTCCCACAACATGTCTCTCAAGTTCAGGTACCAAGGGCTGCCCCCGAAGCATCAGCTCGCACCAAACCCAAGTGGCTGAAGGACGCTGGGGTCTGCAAGGATCAGGCAGCCCTGACTCCGGATACGGAGGCTTTTATTTATTTTTCCACATAAATTACACAAGCACTTTATAAAATGGTTACACAGAAAACACCTTATAAGTGCAGAACTTAACACTCCACCCCAAACGGGATCCGGAGAAACGGGCTGCATTTATGTGAAAACCTGTCTGTGCAGACCTGGGTTGGGCTGGGATGTGTGGTGGGGGCTTGGCAGACCAAGTGAGGCTGTTGTGGCTGTTGTGTATGGGGTAGTGTGTCACATTGCGGCCATGGCCTTGTGTTTGTGATGGAGGGAGTACTATGCTGTTCAGGATGAGTCTGCGTCACCCCTGGCCTGTGCCTGATGGTGAGGTCCAGGGTGTAAACACTGTGACCCTGTATGTGTATGACACTCTGCCATAGATGCCCATGTGTGGCTCTGGGGTGACACCAGGAGGGACAGTGACATCACCTCTGTGTAGGCCTATGGGTTTCCGTGTGTGATGAGAAGTGGGTCACAGAGAAGGAGTTTCCCAGAGCAAATTCAGATGACAGCCTGGGACTCCAGAAGCTGTACCTCCCTTGCCTCTCTCTGGATCCCATATTAAAAATTAAAATAAAATGAAAGAAAAAAGCAGAGATTTCTTAACAGTTCAGATGGGTGTGGGACGCGTCTGGGAGTGGGGTGCGTGTCCTTGCCCCTTGAGCTCTTCCACTGAAGAGAAAACGGTGTCAGCACAAATTCAGGGGCCCTTCGGGGCCTTGCAAGGGCAGTGTTCCCCTCCTGGGTGCAGTCTGAGGCAGAAAGGGGTGGGGAGGAGTCCTGGCTCTCAGGCGTCAGTGACCCCTGAGTGGGCCTAGGGTCCCACAGGGCAGAATGGGCAGGCTCACTCGCAGGCCGACGCCACTGACGTGACGCTGGTGATTTTGGTCGAGTCGTCAGACCATGGCTGCAGATTCTGCAGGGCGAACAGCGACGAGTTGTGCACGCACAGAGGGTCGGCGGGCAGCGGCTGTGCCAGGCTCTTCTGGAAGGCCTCCTGCTGCAACTGCAGGAGGATGCGGTTCGCTTGCTGCCTCTCTGCCTCCCGCTCCTCCGCAGTCTGCCGTCTGCACCAGGAACAAGCCATTACTTGCCAGGAGCACTGACCCGGCTCCCGCGTGTGCCCAGATCCCGGTGCGTTCCCAGAAGATAAACTGAATGAGCACTGCTCGCCTTTGCAGTCCCCAGATCCAGCTTGCGCCCCTATAACACGTTCCCTTCTTTTGAGAGTCCTGACTCCGGCAAAGACTGGAAACCCCCAAAGTGGATGGAGCCAAGGCATCCCGAAGGAGCAGTGGGAAAGTCTGCAAGGCCCAAACAGCTGGGACTCCCCATCCACGCGGAGTGCCCACACCCCGCAGACTTCACGAGGGGCAGCCAGGGATAAGATGGCATCTCATCTCCACCCAGCCCTCAGGGAGACCAGGTGCCATTCCAAGCCCGTGGGCTCTCACTCTACCCACAAGTCCAGGGCAGAGAGGCCAGGGCCAGCGGCTCTGATCTGCTCCGTCTCTTGCCTCCCTCTGTCTGCCAATGTCTTCTAGGCCTTGCGCCTCCTGTGCGGAGCCCTGTGCCCTGCCGGGGCTCCTGCTGGACCCACTGGCTTCCTCTGAGGCAGTTCAGGGAGGCGATGACTCACTTATTCCATTTAATGCCGCCCCTCCACCCTGTCAACTGAGATCAAACGTCTGTCTCTAAGGTGGACAGACCTAATGGGAGTCTCCAGGGCCTTCAGAAGCAATTTGTGCGCGATCGATGAAGCCGTGCGAAGCCTGCAAGGGCCTCTTCCAGCAGCGGCTACTGACCTGCTCTGGGCCGCCTTTTCTTGACTCTGTGTAGCTTTCTGTCTCTCCTCTTTCCCTTCCCTTCTGCATTTCAAACGGCCTGAATATTTCTCTTTTATGCTTTGTGTCTTATCTCTGGTTTTCTCTCCTCCCCACCCACTTGGTTCTCTCTGAATTAAAGGAATTTGTTTGAAACGAAAATGGTGGTTTCAGTCATCCATTGCTTTTCTTTATTACACATAAATAAGATTTCTGCAGGCTGCCCGTTTTTCTCCTTTTTTTCCTTGAGCGGGGTCCCTATCCCTCCCCACCTCCAAAACTGGTTGTGTTTCAGTTACTCCCTTTGCCTGCCTCTGTCTTCCTTTCTCTGTGGCCCTCTCTCTGGGAGGCCCGCCAGGCTGCCTCCCCTCCCCTGGGCCCGCAGCCCTCAACAGGCCTTGGAAACCGGAGTCCCCCTAACCCCCAGCAAGCCCTGGCTCCCTCTACAGCGTCCCAAGGTCTGAGGCCGCAACCCCCACTCTTCCCCAGCGGCAGGAATGTTGGGGGGTGCGGTAGACTCGCGGGGCCAGGGCTTCCTTTGTAGCCCCGAAGGCGGAATCCCAGGCAGATTCCTCGCCTTCGTTCAGAAAAAGAGGAAACTCCAATTCCTTCCTCCTGCCCCAAGGCCCGCCCGTCTCGGCGCCGCCAACTTCGCCCAGACTCTCCCGCGCTGCCCTACCGGGCCTGAGCTAGGGGAAAAACTCCGGCGGGCGAGAGCCGAATGTGCGGGAGGGTGCAGGGTGCGGGAGGGTGCAGGGTGCCAGAGTGTGGAGCCGGAGAAAGCGTCAGTGCGCGCGGAGACGGAAGCTGCCTGGGAATGTGGGGGGCGTTTCACGGCCTTGAGCGTAAATGTGAAAAACAAACAAACAAAAAGCCCAATGCTTAGTAACTGAAGTTGTGGCTATGGGATAAGGGAAAATTCTCCTTCTCACACACACCCATCTGCTCCTAATTGATTCCTCTTTCAGTGGGACCCGCGAAAGCCCGCCGCAGCCGGCGAGGATTGATTTTCTCCTTACAGGGTAGGGACCGGCTGCGCAAAGGCCGGGCGTCTGGGGAGGAGGCCGTCAGCAGGGCCGCGGTCTGGGGCCCCAGACGCTCTGCCGGGAGCCCGGTTGGAGCGCTGCAACAAGGTGCGGGTCGTTCTGCCTCCAGTCTCCGGAACAGAGCAGAATTTCATAAGCAAGAGTTTGCGCAAATACAAAGCTCCCCAGGACTCACAAAGCCCAGGATCCCGGACTGCGTGGAGTGTACCAAGCGGCCCGTTTGCCCTAGCGGCGGAGACCTGCCGCGTCTACGCGGGCAGAGTGTGCCAGCCAAAGTGTGAAGCCTCGTTTAAAACAGAGCCAGGGCTCTTCAGCCCCAGCCCGGCTACGGCCTCTGTTGCTTCCAGTTCCCCGCAAACCTAGCGGGAACCCGCTCCTCCAAAAGGATCAGAAACCGCGAGTGGAAACGAACCGAGAGCTGCCTGAGACCGCGCGGCTCGCGGGCGGCCGGCCCGCCCCGCTTGCTCACCTCCACTTTGTTCGCCGGTTCTGGAACCACGTTTTGACCTGCGCGTCGGTCATTTTGAGCGCCTTGGCCAGGGCGGCGCGCTCGGCCGAGGCCAGGTACTTCTGTCGGTGGAAGCGCTTCTCCAGCTCGCATATCTGCAGGCGTGTGAAGGACGTGCGCGGCTTTTTCTTCTTGGGGGGCGTCCGGTTCTGATAGGGGTGACCTATACGGCGTGTTACAGTGAAGGGTGAGAGGGCCACTGGAGCGGGAGACAGACAGACGGCAGAGGCAAGCGGCAGAGCGTCAGGAAGCGTCCCAGGCCCAACACCCCGCGAGTCAGCGAGCGCAGCAGCTGAACCCCAACGAGCAGGGCCGGGATCCTCCCGTTAGCCCTCAGCGCCAAACCCACGGCGGGAAACGGCCCCCTCCTGCCCGCCAGTCCGACGCCGGCTCGCCACTACCACGGATGCCTCCCTAGCCCCGGGCTCCCTCGAGCCCAGCCACCTCCCTGCTGCCCCTCCTCCAGGGGCAGTCAAAGGCGAGCTAATGGTCGCCCTCTCCTCCCTTCAGTCAGCCCAGGCCTTCAGGCTCAGAGTAAGAGGCTCGAGCCCTTTTAAGGCCCTTGACTCTGGAACCCGACCTGAGCCTCCACCCACAGCAGCACACACCAACACAACATGCGATGGGGGCGAACCCACCGATCTATGCACCCGAACGGGACCAGACAAGCACAGGCATGGGACAAGCACACAGGACACAGAGCAACACAAGGCCACAGCCATACAATCGCTCAAACCTCCTTCATGCCTGACACAGTATTAGGGTCCCAAGGTAGACCCTAAGCCAAGTACCTTTCACCAGAGGCCCAGGACTAGTGGAGTCCGAGCTGCGGATTCCAGCAGAGCCCTTCAACAATGGCCTGGCCTGGGTGGGGAGTGGGATGCCCACCAGGCCCTGCTGCCCCAGGCCAGAGGAAACGTGAGTTGCGGCACTGGGGCCCCTCGAGTGAGGGCCCTTCCTGAAGTCTAGACCCAAGCAACTGTTCTTCCTCTGGATCCCAGCCCCCACCTCACTTCTGCTGTGGCCTGTGGCCCGAGTCTGGTCAGAAGCTGCAGGAGCAGTTTCCCTGGCCATGCTGCGGCCTGGAACAGAAGCAGGGAGCCAGGGGTGCCTTGGGGTCTTCTGGCCCACTGTCTAGCTCTCAGCAGCTTCTCCCAAGTAGTTGTGTACACACCCCTTCCACTGTTGGGCCCTTGAGCCTGGGGACCCCCCAGGAGTTCCTGTCTCTGCCAGCAGAGGCTGGTGCCTCCTGCCTCTCCTCTCTAGGGCCCAGCTGGCTAACCCAGGCTCAGTTTGTGGTTGCTTCCAGCCCCGGACGGCAGGATCCGAGGATCATGGTCTAGGATCCAGGGAACACTAAGGGGAGCAGGAAGTGAGAATGGGGGAAGGGACCCACGCCAGAAGGAGAGCTGAGTGCCCAGAGCGGAAACAGGAGCCACGACCAGCAGAGGAAGGCAGGAGCGGGCAGCAGAGAAAGTGGCAGCGGCCACCACCTGGTACCTAATGTCCTGGGAGTAGCCCTGCTGCCACTGATCACCGGCCTGCCGGTGCATTATTCCTGCCTGGGCCCCGGGGTAGGACACCCAGCTGGGGCAGAACGAAAATGAATAGCTAGCTATCCTGGGCAGCTATGCCCCAGTGCCACCCACCCAGACGAAGTCTGCTATCTGGAAAAAAAAAAGGGCCTCTGGCTCTGCTGATTTTCTGGGGCCTCCACTGGGCCTGCAGCACCACAGGCACCGGAACTAGGAACTCGAAGTGCATGTGTGCGGGGGACTAGAGGTGGGGGAACCTGTTATTTTCTTGTGTCTGATCCTGGGGCTCACTTCTTCGGTCCTAGGACAGCAGCCAGGACAGAAGAAACTGTTCTCATTGCACCCCTTTCTCGGAGATTCCCAGGCCTGGAATAGCTGGAGAAGGTGGTACCGAATCTACGGCCTCCTTCTCTCTGCCTGACTGGGCCATGGATCCTGAGAGGGAACAAGGAAGAGCTTCTCTGAGCAGGAGTCCTTCGGGGGACAGAGAAGGGTCCAGACTGGGAGAACTCTTCAAGCATGGCGATTCCGCGATATAGAATCGGGCGGGCGGCTTATCTTGGGGAAAAGCGCCAAGAAGAGCTGGGCGACCTGGCGAGCAGAACCAGCTTTGGGGAGCCACCCGGCGGGGAAGGGGTAACACGGAGCCCGGGCCACGGCCAGGCGGGGCGAGCGCGGGCCGGACTCACCTGTGAACCTGTCCTTTGTGTATCTGCGGTTACTCTCCATCCAGGGGAAGGTGAGGCCAGTGAGGTTGTTGACGCCCGGCACGGCAGGCACAGAGGGCACGGTGGGCAAGCCGGTGGCCAGGGGCTGGGGGTGAGCCACGGCTCCGGCAAGCGGCCTGTGTGCGGGCACCCGGATCACCCCCGCAGCGCTGAGTGCCCCCGCACCGCCGCTGCTGCCGCCGCCGCCGCCGCCAGGACCCGGGCCGCCCGCCAAGGCCATGTTCACGTTGTAGGAGCCGGCCAGCGGACCCATGCTGCAGGCGCCGCCGCCGCCTGCCGGGCCTCCGGGGCCGCCGGGGCCTCCGGGGCCACCCGGACCTCCAGTGCCATAGGCTCCCGCGCCCCCAGCCCCCGCCCCGGCCGCGGAGCCCCCTCCGCCGTAAGTGTAGGCGCCTCCGACCAAGCAGCCAAGGCCGTATTCTCCGTCCTGGAGGCGTGAGGCGGGCCCCATGCAGCCACCCTGGTCCGGGCTGTTGAGGATCTGGTCGATACCGAAGCTGATGGGCTCTGCATGGCCCGGGTGGAGGTGGTGCGGACCCAGGTGCTCCATGGTGGCCCCGGCCCCACTGGGGGGCCCGGGCGGCGACGCTCGCTGCGCTTGGCTCCAGGAGCAGCTAGCAGGGGCGCGGAGGCAACAGCAGCTTCTGGCTGCGCCGAGACTTGGAAGCGAAGTGCGCAGAAGGGCTAAAGTAGGAGGGGGAGGGGAGGGTAAGGGGGGCGCCGTATTTTTCCCCTCTCCGGCTTCTCCTTCCCTGCTCCAGTTGCTCGCTCGCTGTTGACTCTGGGACATCAATCACCAGGCGAAAAAGCCCAGTGAGTGCGAGCTTCGCGGTGTTGGCTGGGTCTCTCCATTGGCTGTGCGCAGAGAGGAGCAGGGTGAATGACAGCGCGGGGGAGGGGAAGGGAGGGGGAGAAGAAGGCCAGAAGCCGAGGCATATACAGGAGCCAAAGATAGAGGGACGGAGACCAAGACTCGGGGTAGTTCTTGAAGAGACAGAAGACGGGAACAAGGAGAGGCTTAAAAGGAAAAGGAAAAAACAGGAAGCGACTATTCCCAGAGACGGACAGACAGACATCCCTAAGGAGGGTGAAGTCAGCTGTCTTCCCAGCCTGTTGGGAGCCATTCCCCACTTTCAACTGGGCCAGAGGAGTCCAGCCCGCCAGGCTTCTGAGGAAGGGATGTCCCTGCCCAACTGGAGAATCTCCCCAAGGGCTCAGCTGGGAAACACCTGTCACTCAACCAGGAGATTTACTCCAAACTTCAAGTCCAGCTTGTTAGGAAGTAGAAGATTGTCTACTACCCAGGTATGGAGCCCAGGCCCTGAGGCAGGACGGTGAGTTCAGGCTTGTCCTTCTTTAAAACACAAGCCTATGAATAACTGACTATATGTTATAAAAATCAGCAACCACCCCCCAACTCAGCATTCTTAGAGAAATTCAGGAAGGGAGCGTTTCCTGAAAGGCAGGCACAAGTCAAGAGGGTTGGTTTGGAGCCTGCTGCCAGGGTGCCCATGCCTCAACATACCCCTTTCCTTTTAAATAAACAGATGCCTCAAGAAGCAAAATCCTACTGGCTTTGAAAGAGGCAATTCCTACAATGTTTAAATGAATTCAACCAGATTGCTTTCCACCTAACGATTAGCCCAGGGTTGGCTATTCCAGGCAAGAAGGCTTTGGACTCTTGTCTTGGTTCGTGTTGTTTTCTTCCTTTTGGAATCTTGGGAGGGAGCCGTAGGGGCTTAAGGCCTTGGGGGCTAGGACTGTGGGACTAGGATCAGGGAAGTGCATCCAGGACAAATTTAGGCCTTTTCAACATTTTGCCAGTGGCTGTCTGGCTGAGAGCCCAAGAGAAAAGGAGGAAACTCCCTTTTTCTTCTTCCTCTCTTTCCTCTCTCCAGTGGAAAATGTTTGCTACCTTTTAGGAGCCAAGCTCTGGGAAAGGTGCAGGTTCTATTGCTTGGGATCTATTTCTGGTCCATTTCAGTTCAGTTTCAGATTAGATCTTTGGGTAGGTTCTGTTTCTATCTGGAAATATGCTAGAATGTGAAGGCTCACATTCTCTCCTCATCAAGTCTCATTGAAATCTATTTGCTTTGGCCATGTCTGTCACCTCCACTTGAAGAGCTCTTCTTGGAGGCAGAGAGTGGCTTATTCATTTCTGTTCTGTCCTGAAGAATACAGCCCCAAACAACAAAATATGTTCATCTTGGGTGAATAACGAATGAATGTATCTCTTTATTCAATATTTATTGAGTACTGTACTCACTATGTGTCAGGCACTGTTCTAAGCACGGGGTACATAGCAGTGAACAAAACAAAGGTCCTGACCTCATGAAGCTTACATTCTGTAGAGGGGGTCAGACAATAAGCAAGGAAGCAAATGCAACAAGCCAGATGTTAGTAAGTATTATGGAGAACAACATGAACTGTACACCAATCTTTGAGATGAGTATTCTCCCTATTTTACAAATGTGAGGAAAGCACCCTTCAGAATGGCTATGATTGGTGGGAATTAATATGGAGGAGCTAGATTCAACTTGCTTTTGTCAGTTAGCCTAGAAACCTAGGTGCTGGTTGGAAGTTCTGTGGGGAAAACCTTGTCTAAGCTCCAGCCAGGTGCACAAAGACCCACTCAAGACAAAGCCAAATGTGAAGTTGGTAGTTGTTTGCAAACACTAAGCAGAAACATGAGAGGGCTCTGCTCCCTCGCCAGTTCTGTTCTTCCCACTTACCCACTCCTGGTACTACATCCCTACCCAGGTACTACACCCCTACCCAGGTACTACACCCCTACCCAGGGAGTTCCATATCTTACTTTGGAAGTTGTCTGAACCTGAATAGATCTCTTCCTGCCTCTTATCTTGAGGGAACTAAATTGTTTTACAGAAATAAATTGTTTACTGAAAAACAGCTTTGTGCCAGGTACTGCCTCATACATATCTCATTTAAGACTCATAACAATCCTGTGAAGTTAATAGAAATGTCCCGGTTTTTTGTAATCGAGAGAATCGAATGAATGTTCATGGTAGTATCATTCATAATAGCCCCAAAGGGAAAACAACTCAGATGTCCCTCAACTGATGCATAGATAAACAAAATGTGTATATCCACACATGGAATATTCTTTAGCCATAAAAAGGAATAGAAGAGAAATGCCGGTTCATGCTATAACATGGATGAACCTAGGAGACTATTCTGCCAAATGAAAAAAGCCAAGCACAAAGGCCATCTATTGTATGATTCCATTTGTATGAAATGTCCAAAATAGGCAGATCCACAGAGGCAGAGACTAGATTAGTGGTTTTCAGGGGACGGCAGGGAATGGAAATTCACTGCTAATGGATACAGAATTCCCTTTGGAGTAATGAAAATATTCTGGAATTAGATAGTGGTGATGGTTACATAACTGTAAAAATGTTAAAACCCACCGAACTGTACATTTTAAAGGGGCTGAATATTGTAGCATATGAATTATATGTCATTTTTAAAAAGAAAAAATAGCTGGGTGCAGTGGCCTGTGCCTGTGGTTCCAGCTGCTCTGAAGTCTGAGGCTAAGGATCACTTGTGGCCAGGAGTTTGAGGCTACAATGTGCTATAACTGCACCTCTAGCCTGGGCATCAGAGCAATGCCCCATCTCTAATCAGAAAATGAAAACTGAGGCTCAGTGAAGAGAACAAACTTGCTCCAAGTCCTATAGACAGAGAGGATTGATCTGGAATCTCAAAACCTGAGCTATTTTCCTTGTTTGAGGCTGAAAACTATAGGGAGGGGTGCTGCAGATTCCTTTCAGGCTGGGCCCTAGTGGCCTCGCTCTTTTTAGTCTCACCACAGTTCTGCCTGCTGCAGTTAAAACACCATTTTGGTGTGAGTTGGTTGAAGGTAAAATTTACAAGACAAAAAAAAGAACACCTATCATTTCCAGCTCAGATGGCCTTCCAACCCTGCCTGTTCCAACCCTTCTGGCACCTGCCTGATCCACCCCTTGAACTCCTCGGATCTGGCATCAGTTGTCCAGGATACCTGGGAGGAGACTTTGCCCTTGCTGGCCCAGCTTCAGGTTGGCAGAAGTCACCACTACCTTGTACATGGCCCACTAAGACTGTCAAGATCTTATTAAAATTCAGCAACCCAGGGATATACTGACTTTCTCCTGCTGTCACAGCCACTTCCTTGACTGATTTCTTCCTCCCCCCGCCACCTTTTCTGTTTATCAGAGTCAACTTTTATCCCAATTGGGGATATCCCCAACTTTTACCCTCAATGAGGTGCTGGGGTTTTGTGAGTCAGCTTAATCCCACCCTTTGTTTTCCAATAGGGTATTTGCTGGGGGCCAAGACTACCCTCTCTGTCCGTTCCTCACCTAGAAAGACCAGAGGGTCAGGATTTGCTGGGCTCTGGCCCCCACCCCTTCTCCCGCAAGCAGTGTTGCCTGAGCACCATGTTGCAAGGTTGGGAAGTTTTCTGAAACAGGAGAGGAGACTCACACAAGCCTATGTTCACCGCAGCTTCTGTGTTTCCACCGTGCTTTTGCATGCCTTGCAAAACAGCCCCGCTAGGAACGAGGAGGGAGGGGAAGAAAACCGGACTCATGGAGCACCTGCCATGTGCAAGGTGCCTTCAATCGCGAGAATGATCTCTCCGCTCATGTTTAACTAATCCTGTGATGTGGTTTTTGTTATCTCCATTTTACAGATGAGAAAACCGAGGCACTGAAAGCTGGAAAGGGGCAGAGACCAGACTCAAACACTACTTTACTGACTCTGCTCATTACAAGCTGCTTCCTTAAGCCTAAACTTGGCTCTTGCCTCACAGGACTATCTTGCAGGAACCTAGGTGAGTTGCAGATCCTTCTCTCCAGTTCTGAGGCCACCTGGTAACGCCCTTCCCCCAAGCACCGGCTCCCCCTGGCCTGCAGAATAAAAAAGTGCCTCCAATTAAAAGGAGAGCAGCTGGGGCTGGGGCTGGGGCTGGGGCTGGGGCTGGGGCTGGGGCCAGGGCTGGGGGAGGAGGAAAGGACGGGCCCAGCCCAGGGGGAGGCCCCTGTGGATCCCACAAGGTCTCCTCCTCCCTGCTCTGAAAGAGACCCCCGGGCCAGGGGTTGTCCTTTAGCTTACGGGTATGTGTGGAAACTTAATTACTTTGTGTTTGTGGGACCTTGCATCCATGAGGGGAAAGCTGGATGGGAAAGCGTGTGTGACAGTCAGGATTGAGAGGGCTGTGCAGATGTCCTGAGCATGTCTTTAAGAGATAATTTTAACAGTTTATTCAATGAATAATTATGGAGTGTCTAGTATGTATCAGGCACTGTGTTAAGCTGTTGGGATACAAGTGGAAGCAAAACGCATGTCAGTAAGAGTGTTGGAGGAGAAGAAGGGAGTCTGGGTATGTTGTACCACTGCATTTTGTCATGTGAGGATGTGTGTGTCAGTGACAATGCAAGTGAATGTGTTTTCTGTAGTAGGATAAGTATGTGTTTACAACTGTTCCTCTGTAGAGAGTGCTTGTGATGGGGTGAGGGCATCCCTCTGCTATGACTGTGTGCTGCAGATGGTGTGTATCGTTGGAGGGATGTCTTTTAATCCAATGGAATTGTCAGGGAAGTGGCCGTGTAGGGGCCTGTGGTTGTGAGGAGGGAGACACAGGGCATACCCAATGGATATATAGTAGGGAAAGGGGGCTGAGAAATATGTAAAGGGATATGTAACAGGAAGTGGTCCATGGTGGAGTCAATGATGTCCTAGTACCAAAGGTGTTCCCACTGCCTTCCCACCTGTCTCAGAAAAGAGGCAGAAAACTTTCCCCGCTGTGGGAGAGGCAGGATCACCTGGGGACTTAGGGACTTAGAGATGCAGTAAAGGGCACTGTAACTCCAGGAGCCCTGGGTTGGGGAGGATGGTCTCTAGGAGCCTAGACTGGGGAGGGGGACAGTGAGTAGGTCAAGTGATTCAACTCAATGAGTCCTCAGGGTTGGGGGTGTTCCAGGGCCAGCCCCTGTACCCCCACCCAATTCTTACATGAGATATGGAGGACCTCTCCTGGGACACACACGCATTTTCCCATCAGTGGAGGGACCCTGAATGGATAGAGGACAGATGGACAGGAGACAGACATGTCCCTGCTGTGGGCCACACTTTAGCTGTCATCCTGTGTAGTGGTAGGCAATTTCCCTCTCTTCCCCTGTCTACTCCCCTCAATCAGAGCCCAGCAGGTGGATGCGTCAGAGATAGGGTGCTTCTGTAGAGATCCCTTCCCTCCACTGCCTCCCCTCCCTGCTTGGCTTCTGACCCTAAAGGAAGCTGTTGGCCTCATTACCCCTGGGCATTGAGCTAAGGCCTCAAGTGTCTGACTATGTCCTTCCCAAGGGAGGCCCAGAGACCCTCAGGTTCCACAATCCATCCAGCACCGTCTTGACCATGGTGCCCTTGATTAAGGAATCTCCCATCCTGAGTAACCTCCAAGTATGCCAGAAGCCTGGAAAGGGGCAGGCAGGGAGTGGGCTAAGAGAAGGCTTAGGGCAGGACAGACCCCCATGACCCTGCTCTCCCCAGACAGCTCTCAAAGGGCTCCCTGGGCACAGAGCTCAGA